CGACATGCTTCGAGAATGCAAATGTAAACARCTATTCGGGAAGGGTTTCCTTTGCGAATTCTAAACTCTATGGGCAACTCTAAATTCTATTGGTTCTTCCATGCATGGAGCAGGTATGGAATGAGATCTTCAAACAGGAAGACGACTTCCAAACGAGCACTCGTCTGGCACATCTTGTTAACTAGTTCTTCGTAATGAGCTAGATAAGTATGTGCTGGGCTCTTCATGGCGGTGAGTTGTCGCTGTTTGAAAAGTTCACAGGCTACGATAGTTCCAGAAATTGGATGTTTGTAACTGTAGTCAGCATGTAGATGAAGTGTAACAGCRTAGAGCTGGATGAAATTAAGGCTGGCTCCATCACAAATCGCTGTATTACGCAATTCCCGGCTGATGTCCAATGCTCGATTGTCAAGGTTTGACTGGAAATTTCAGGTGCGCGCGGATGAGCTCATGGATTCTCACGTAGCGCTCTCGGGTGGGAAGGCGTGGTAAAATAGAAGGAAGGAGTGAGGAAGGCTTATTGGACAACCAAGAGTAAATCATCAGGAACCGAGACGCTTGGTAGTGATGAATATCAATGTGTTTGAATGCATAAAGACGTCTCATGCTCAGTCCTACACACTCCAACAAGCCGGGGAGAGCGATATGCGGGAGGTGCGGGATGTCTGATACAGAGGGCGAATCTGTGAGAAGTGTGGGGTTAGAGCGTAGATGTAGGACTATTACAGGTATGTCATGCATGAAGTAGGAGGTAAAGACTTACTGTTTTGCCGTAATAAACGGCTTAGTCCAGTCCGTATCGCGGGGCGTTTATTTGATGTACCTTCCATCTTTGAGGCTTGATGGAAAGAGGGGCGAGCAGTGGGGTGGAATGTGTGGTATGCAGTTAAACACCCCCCACTCATTGTCAAACACTAATTAAAGAGTGTTTCCCTATGCCCTGCAGCATATCTAAACAAGTAATATGTAATATTGAGTATGACATTTCAGATTTTGAAATATGGTAGTAAGTTCAAAAGCAGCTGCACTGTCCAGAAGCTTTTCATGAAATCATCTGCATCTGTGGCAAATATATGCAAGTCACATAGAAATATCAGTTGTTTTTTATTTCTCTAAAATTATATACCTTAACAATTCTTTTGTAAAAATTAATGTACCTCCAAAACCCTTTTTTTCAGAGTGTTTAGAGTGTTATTCTACTGAATGGCTTGCCAATAGCTTCTTGGTACGAGTTTTAAGGACACACTGTCTAAGTAGAAGGCTATATGGTTTTTCCAATCTTTTCAGGAAATTTTTTATGCTTTTGGCAAACGCTATCTTCAGCTTTCTATCACAATCGGTTATAAGTCCTTTCTGTGGTGATGGTGACACTTCTCCTTCGGATACACAAACATTACTGTGAAATTCCCTCTGGTTTTTCTGAGCTTGACTTGACTTGGTTGTCCCATCGAAACTTTTTCTTCTTTTTTGTTTGCTCCAATACTTGTTAAAGGTGTTTTTGCTATCTTATGTACTGTTGACTGCAAACACTTGCATATATCATCTTGTGCAGGCCAATTTACCAGGTCTGGCGTTAGGTAAAAACTTGATATGGCTGCTATGTAGGATACTTGGAGCTCTGCAAATGTAGTACTTTTCATAGTTAACAGTATAGTACTCCTCTAAGGCAATTCCTTCCACAGATACTTCTACAGAGTTTGTTCATCTACGTTCCACGTTAATCCACTTTGGACATGCAAGTACTCCACGCCAAACAGCTCCCCAGTGTACTTTATTGGTTTCTAGATGTTTTGGAATAGGGGCTGGCCATAGACTTTGCTTTCCAAGTCGTTGATTCTTGTCTGCTGTCGAACATCAAATGTTCTTAGTGGTGATGCTCTGGTGTCGATCGCATCATACGCTCTCGCCTGGTTCCAACGGGATATTCCGTCCAGCAGGAACGCCTGGAAGTTAACGGAATCTGCTGATGTCCCCAGAATAGAACGCGTAAGGTGCAAATGAAAACTCTCCAGTGACGTTGATCCCCTTGCGCAAGGGTAGACTGGCAGTTTCACCCCTCCTTTGGTGATATGACTCGTCAGTGTACAAACTCATCCCGTCAGGATCTTGAATGCACTTCACATGCTTTTTTTGTTCTGCCTATATGTCTTTCATCTCTTCTTTAAATATGGGTACACCCAGTTTGTCTGTTGCGGTGGATATTGACAGAATGAGTGTCTCTATGGCTTCAATTGTGTCGTTAGTTCCTCGGGTAGCTCTTTTACAATGACGATTTACTTCTTCTTTACTTATTGCTTTCCTGGCAATTATAATGTAAAAAATTATAAGAAAAAATATCGTAATTATCTGATATAATAAAACTTGTACAAAAAAACATAATTTTTGATAGGATTACTTACCTTATTGATTTTTTCGAAAGGTCAGCTGCTCCAGCTCTCCTCAACTCCATTTTTTGCATCATAAAGGCGTTGGTAATCTTGGTAAGATGGCCAATGACAAGTGTTCCATAAACATTCCATACATGGGGTGGGACCACGCTTGGTCTCCAGGTGTCATATTTTCCCTCCACCCAACAGGCAGTCGTAGACTGTAGTCAGTGGCACTTCTAAGTAATAAAGATGACGAATGGCCAGTGGAACTAGATGTATTATCATATTGACAAACCAAAAAAATCCTAACAAATTTCGTTTACTAGGCGATTACCGTCCTATAGTACGCACAAAAATTCTATCAACAAGCACTTACATGTTATATTAGAAGCGGACGGGAGAGGATCTATAGTACTAGAAAACGTATCCACGTCTTCTGTCACACTATCATCAACACCACAAGCTTCCCTGGTTGCTCGTTTACAGTGGCGATTTACTTCTCCTTTACTTATGGCTTTCCTGTGAATTATAATTTAAAAAATTATAAGAAAAAACACCGTAATTATCTGAGATAATAAATCTTGAACAAAAAACATAGGTTTTTTTTCTGAAGGCTCCGCTACTGCAGTTAGCCTCATCTCCCCTCTTTTGGCGTCACTGTAGCGGTTAACATGTATTTTTACTGGCCGCGCCAACTGGAATCGGTCTAGGAATAAGACTAGGCACTTGTCACAATTTAACTGAAACGGTTTATTCGAAGACTTGATCGATGTTGAGACGAACGTAAACTAGAATTACAATTGTGGCAAAAACTCTAATCAGATAAAAATATGTAACTAGCATGGCATAAAAATAGCAATCAATACTTTACAAATTCAATGATACAATAATGCAATAACACATAAAACAATACTAGATCATGCAATATGTTAAATTGTAGTGATGAAARCTAGTTCTAGGACTGATTGAGAGCTAAACGCTCTATTAACAAAACTTAAGTGGGCGTTAACTACATAAAAGACGACCTCGTAGGTCTTTTCATAATCTTGAAATAATCAAAGGTCACAATGATTCAAAAGATCTACTAGCCCACACTTAGTACGATGATCCTTGATCTTAATAGTGAAATAAAAGGTTACTTACATATCTGTCCCGCTTGTACCAATATCACAGACACTCCTTATTTCTAAAATCTTCTTACAACTAATCAAATGACGCTTAATCACACTTTTATATGTGCGTGGGGACGCTAAAGTATACTATTACATATAAAGGTACATGAAGGTATCTAAACCGCAAAACTTTAACTACGGAGACTATCTAAATCTAATCTATAAATCAACAATGTTCTGTAATTAATTAAATTAACTGTATATCCTTTACAGTCACAAAGGCTTTGATAGTCATCACTGTCACATACGAAGATGGCAAACGTTGCACAAACACCCCATAACCGGGGAGCAAAAACTACAACTTATGGAATCAGTCTACCCAGTTTGATACATCCAATGTGGATACAGTTTGTGAATCGCACATTCTGCATTATGTGGTTGCAAATCAATATTGTATTTGATTTCCTTGGTGGGTATCACAGATGACTCAAAGAATAAATAGGTAAAATAATTAATGTAAAGAAAGATACACATTTCATTAGAAAATTGTCCAAAAAAGGATTCTATGCCAAAATAATGAAATTGTGAAAAAATTCTATTTGCACACTTCAGATTTTTTTAGACTTCAAACACTTTCCTTTCCATTTTATAATCGCGTCTATTCTGTGATTCATAGAAGTGTTTAACTTGTTTATTACTGGTAGCAGAATTCTACGTATGGTTCGGCATATTCTTTCTCCAGCCCTTCAGCATACTTAAGCCAATATATAATATCAAGTATGACATTTCAGATTTTGAAATATGGTAGTAAGTTCCCATTTTTTTTCTCTTTTTTTAAATATATGTAATATATATTGACTATTGGTTCGTTGTGAAATGTCTTGTGGGTGCCAAGGTGTTTGTAGGTTGCAGTTCGTTGCTGTGGAATCTGATAGAGGACTGGAGGGTAGACAGGTCCAAAGGGCTTGCTACTTTAAATCCATGGTGCGGTGCTGGAAACTGGAAGTCTGTTGGGGTTTAGTTGCCCAGTTTAGTGTGTGAAGTTTTATGGAGCACAGCATACTTAAAGGAACCACCGCAATCTTCTCTGTCCCACTTTCACCAAAGGAACCCCGCACGTATCAAAAATACGCGCGCCCAAGGGGTTTTCCCAAAGCGCACCACAGGAAACCCAAAAAGTGGAAAAAACTTACATTCACCTTAAAATAAGGAAAAAAGAAGTAGTTTTATAACAAAAACTTTCAGATCCTTAAAAACAAAGGTAGTATTGCAAGAAATATAAAAATTAATGCAAAAAGAAATGAAAGGAAAATTATAAAAAAATGAAAAAAATCATCAAGGACAACAACACTCTGGTTGATTAAAAATTTATTTCTGATGACATTTCCTTCATCAAGGATATATAACTACCCCTCCCCAGCAGCTGACTGCTACTGAGTGAGCCAGGTTACTTAAAGGCCGCCCGGCACCCGGCCTGAAAAATATAATACAATAATATAATATGTTTATATATGTCTGGTACTTTTCACTTGCTCCATCCAATCTTCATAACTTTGTTTTGCAGTTTTTGTACAAAAGTATTTTCCATAATAAAACTTATGAGTACTTCGATCTCTAGGCTCACCGCATGCATTACATAGATATATTACAGCTTTCCTTTTTCTCTTTGGTACTGGATCTGCCAATGATGGCTGTTGTGGTGTCGTTATTGAGGATTTTTCGTCTGATGTCTTTGTAGGATTGGCAGATTAAGTTCCAGCGAGATGTTACTGTTTTCTTTGACTTTTCTGGAACAGGGTGAATGTCACACAATTTGATTATGATGGCCTCGACATATCTGTTGCAGTCAGGCCACTGGGCAGGACCAGAGCTGGTACCTAGGAAAGACCTGAAGGAAAGGTGTCACAAACAAACCCTAAGTTTGTATGTTCATTATAAAAAGAAGCCTTACCTCTTTGTACTATCCAACCCAGGAATGACAATGCTGCTTCTCTTCTTGGGTTGTTTAAATTTACCCTTTGCCAGTTTTGTTCTGTGGCGTGGTGCAAACTTAGTTGGCTTCTTGTCGTACGCATCGAGCTTGTTCCACATCCTGACAATGTCTTTGGCTTGTGAATTAGAAATAGCCATGGTATCACTACCTCGAAGGGACACCAAGTATTCTGCCAGTGCCTGAACCTGTCCGTATCCTTGGACATTCCCAGGCCCAGCAAAGTCCTCAGAAATATATGAAAATTATAAAACTATCTAAGAACTTAGATGTACACATAAAGGACAGTGAGACCAACAGTAGACAGGAATGTGTCATGTATATATGTCATATATACAGCACATTAGATTACAAATTAAATGCACACATAATTTTATGGATTGCAAAAACACTCAAATCTCTTCTTCACGTGATAATTCTTCCGCTGCGTCCTCAGCAGAATGACTGTCATCAGAGTCGTCTTCTGATGGTGTGTAAAAATAAATTTTATTTAATTGACATAGACACAAAAGAATGCTGTGATTTGAAAGTTTTCACCTTTTTCATCACAGCATTTTCGAGGGTCTCATCTTCAACTTCATCAAAGCCTTCATCATCTTCAAGATCTGGGGTAGAGAGAGGCTCAGGTTGTTGTGATCCTTCTTCCTCATTCTTTAAGGACTTTCCCAGTTTGACCGTAAAGATATTCCACACAAATCTGTTCACCAGTGTAGATCCCTACTTCTTGTACATTTTCTCTTAGCTTCTTACCAAGCACTTCTTGACTAAGAGTGTTGAGTGCCTTAGTATGAAGAGCATTGTAAGTCTCTGGGTTGTCTTTTGGCCTACAACCAGGGTATACAGCATCTACAGCACAGTCTGCATTCCACCTCATCAATCCATCCAGGAGATGCATGTCACTGGCACTTTCTCCTAGTTAAAATTAAAATCAAAATTTTAAACACACTAGTTGAATGAAACAATGAACTTTAGCCATTAACATACCTTGAATAAATCTAGCAATGTGCTTGTGGAATGATTCTAGCGATGTGGTTCCCCTTGCACATCTGTATGTTGGTAGTAGGACATCACCCTTCTCCAAGGTTCCTGTACGTATATATAGCTGGACACCCTCAGGATCTTGCAAGCAAGGAATGTGTCGCTTTTGAGACTCCCATATCTCCCATATTCGATCACTGTCTAGTAAAGGAACTCCCATGGTATCGGATCCCTGTTCTCCACTTAGTGTTTCCAGAAGGTTATAGAGTCGCTCAGTCTCCTCAACACCACGGGTCTGTCTGCAGCAATGCAAGGCTAACTCTTTCTTTGTAATCTTCTTAATAACATCATCATCAGTCGGGTTGATTATACCACTCTTAAACATCTCACATGTTTTGGCAAGTTTCAGTTGGCTCCATTGGAATATGCACCGAGATAGGCGACCGCAAAAGTATCCATAGAGTTGATGAGCCTCTGTAGTACAGCCACTAGTTATGCGTCTCATGAAATGCCATGTATCTAGTCTAACAACAATTCCATCCCAAAGAGAGAACATCTGTTGCATCTTGTTACCACAGCAATCACGGTCAACATAAAGCACTTCTGGTGGCGGTACTCCAGCTAAAGCGTATCGTCTCATGAGTCCTGTAGCTATAGGGTCAAGTCCAGCTCCTTCACTAGCTGTAAGCACACTCATGAAAACTTGACCAGTTTCATTTCCAACATTCGTGCACCAAGCAGCAGTACCAGGACTCTTCCCTGCCAGCTTTCTCACAATTTTCATAGTTGAGTCTAATTTCTAGATGCATCCAAATGTTGATGTAATGGCTTCTTTGATATGGTCCATTCTTTTCAAGACGTCCTGGGCATATACAGTGAGTAGCCAAGCTGCTTTAGGTGGCTGTATGAACTTTGGGGGCTGTATAATTGGCAGGAATATTGACAAGTCCCTTCTTCTGGGCCTCAGTGAAGTACTTGCAAACGGTGAGGTAGTTCAATGATTGATCTACCCACATTTCACTGTGTTGTTCCAGCAATTTGTTCTGTAGTTGGGTTGAGCTGTTCCCTAAACCTCTCTGCCTCAGAAGTCRAATTACACGGACATCACAGGCATACTGATATGTTAGCAGCACTAGGAATTGAACCTGTTGTCCAAGAGTCAACTGGCTTACAATGGGTGGACTCCATGAAATCACCTTCCTTTTACAATTTTTACATTCCAAGTACTCAGAGGCAAGGTTATAGTAGCCATCAACATCAGTCACTTGGCGCACTTTAAGATAAATTCCAGCTCTGGTAAGCTCCTTGTTGTCACATCCATCATGAGGACAAACCAAGCGAACTCTCCACATTTTCCTGGGCATCCACAACAAGAGACGTCTGGCAAAGTAGTAGTTTGGTCGTGGGAACAGGTGTGGAGATGCTGAAGGGGGATACCACCATAGCTTGTTTTTGATTCTTAAACAATGAAGGACATCAATGAACAATGTGTTTCTCAAATCATTGAATGTAACTTGAACATTTACCTGCTATAGTCCAGTTCGGCCTTGCCTTTGGAATTACGCTTGAATAAGGCTTTTGATATCCAAAGATGATCAGCCTTTGGAAGTGTCTGACGCCAGCCATCAAAGAGGGGGCAATCTATGAATATGAAAAGTAATGAAAAAGTATAAGGGGTATTTTCACATCGGGCAGGTATACGAAAATTATTCAAGTAGGTCCACCTCATTCTTCTGAGATATACCTGTCATGTACTAACCTTCTGTTGTGTAATTAGAAGCTTGAGCCGTATCAGAAGTATCACTGTCAGCTGCCTTTGGAGTTTGTGTGGACTTATTTGCTGTTTTCTTTGGTTTTGGCTGATCTACTGACTGCAATAGATTCTCCTCAATTTGTTCAGCCAAGAGACAGAGTTCTTGATCGTCGTCCCTTGCATCAGCTTTGACTTGTGTACTTGTAGCTGTGGTTGTAGCTGATGAAGTTTGGGTCTTTGGCACAGTAGGAAGATTAGGCCTCACTGTGGTAGTGCATGTAGCTAGAAAAATAAATGTATCATCTGTCAATAGGTGATTCTATCAAGCTTCCAAGAAAATAAACAATACATGGATTGAATTTTCACACAGTGCAAATTGAGACTACAACATTACAAGTTTACCTGATTTATACTTTGCTACAAATCTCTCAGGAGTAACTGATGCAGATGCTAGACGAGCAGCGAGTGACGAAGATAAAGCTGGCTTTGTTTGGGTTGGAGTTGGTGTCTTCTGCTCTCTCAGTAATGTCTCTCTCTTCCGTTCAATTGCTGTTTGGACCTCGCTGAAGTATGAAGCATACTTTGTGAGAGCCATCCTGTTCTTTATTTTGTCACTGCTCTCATTCTTTTGCTTTTCAACCTCCCCTGGCAGAGTACTGCTTGCAGCAACGTACAYAACATAAAATAAATCATTCTCCATAAGCCACTTGAAACTTTTGCCTTTATACTGCCCAAACTGTATTCTGTATTCACAGAGAACTTCCTCGTCATTCTCTGTGTCCCCCCCCCCCCCTTCAGCTGTACGGCTCTTCTAGCTTCACTGTGGACCTGACAAAAAAAACATAATAATTAACCATAGAATCCTTCAAAATAATGCACATTATGCTCATTTTATAACAGTTATCGGTCAATTTTAAAAACACTATAGAAATAAAGTTGTTAAGTCATGAACCCTTGCTGCTATAATAGCCGACAATTAAGCTTATATCACGGGTGGTTTGTATGGATTTTTAATAGTAACGGTCGCACGTGGTTGCGCTTCGTGCATAAAAATTGAATGAATAGCTAAAATTCCTTCACGAATTCAATAAATCACAATAGAACATCTATTAGAAGCAATTCCAAAATATGATCAAAGAGCATTTTGAACACGTTTCTCCTTATTTAAAGAGTTTTTTTTACATCTTTGAAAGATCTCACAGTCTTCGTCTTGACGGCCTTCTTGTAGTCCATGGCTTCCTGTGTACACTTCTTGGTCAGCTATCCGTTGGGCTGTCTTTGGAGCTCTGGTCTGTCTGGCATGGTTCAGGTGAAAGGTACAAAAGGAACACACAGGAAAAAAACAAGCACACATAAATATAAAGAAGATGACTCACCGAGTGCAGTAAAAGTGCCTTCTTTCTTGCCTCTAACTGGGTGATCTCTGGACGAAAACCTACTGAAAATATACTACGAAACATGCTACGTTTGCTTTGCTTCTAAATCGATTTTATCTGACCTYATTCGCARTGAATTAGRTGACTCCTTTCTCTCGCTTGGGTCATAGAAAAGAGGAAGGTTTCCCCGAGCCGAAGGCATTTTGCAGAGCTATGCTTAGAGCCGATTGGTCCATTGGTTGCCAGGAGATAAAACAAAGGATCTGTTAAAGTAATAGATCGACTGTGATTGGTCAACAAAGTGAACTCTAAAGAGAAATGCACGCTTTTGATTGGACAAATAAAGAGAGAATAGCACGGGACACCACCGCTTCTCTGTCCCACTTTCACCAAAGGAAGCCCGCACGGCTTTTCCCAAAGCGCACCACAGGAAACCCAAAAAGTGGAAAAAAACTTACATTCACCTTAAAATAAGGAAAAAAGAAGTAGTTTAATAACAAAAACTTTCAGATCCTTAAAAACAAAGGTAGTATTGCAAGAAATATAAAAATTAATGCAAAAAGAAATAAAAGGAAAATTATAAAAAAA